GCACCCGCCGCTCATCTCGCAGGTCGGCATGTGCTCCAAGATCAAGAACTACTACAAGAGGACCGCTATCAAGGTATCACTTACTGTTAATAAAGTAAAAAAAAGACAATAAAAATATAGCCTATGTTACTGATAACGTAGCTTTGTAATAGTGAAACGATTTTTGAAATCTCCCCAGTTCTTGAATCGTTTAAATACATACAAAAATACAAATATTTGTAATATTAATATAGATTATGCTTATGTTAATATTTGCTTTGCCCGCGACTCTTACACGTGGAATTAAAGTGAAATAAAAGCAAGTGGCATGTGTTCTTCCAGACTAACCTCTACATCTATACATTCATCGAGATCCGTTCAGCAGTTTAGGTTACAGTTTCTAACAAACATCCATCCATCCCATTATAATTAGTAAGAAAACTGTGAATTTCCACTGTCGTAAGACTTCTTATAAAACTTTTTATTTTTTTGGTTTATTATAAATAGTATAAACGAGATAATAATGTAGAACAATTTAATTGTGCGGCAGTGCAATTTCAAGGTAAAAACCATTTTATATTCGTATATTCCTATTATAGTTTAATATCGCTCAATGTTTACGAAAGATATTAAACTATTATTTTTAAAAACTTTAATTGTGAGATGATTGTTCCAAATATACGCTACTCTTCTTCAAATTGCTAAAGGCCCAGTATACCAATGAAAATATCTAAATGTTCATACAAATTTCAGGATACGGGGCCGAAATCTTTTAAATACGGTGAAGTGGCGTACGCGCATACGTCGCCGTTCCTGGGTATCCTCGCGCCGGGCGCCACGCAGCCTGTTGTAGAGAATAATATGTACCGCGCGCCCATATACGAACATACTCTACCGCAGACTGACTTTCTTGTTATAAGGACCAGGTAAACTTTCTCTCTCTCGCTTTTCCGCTCCCTCTCCATATCTCTCTCTATCTACCACTCTCTTCCTTTCCGGCTCCCTCTCCCTATCCCTATCTCTCTCTCTCCCTTTCCAGCTCCCTCTCCCTATCTCTATTTTACTGTCATATTAGTTTCAAACTTTCCGACACATATTAAAGAGTAGATGTAAAGTCTTATATACAGTTTAATGATTGGTTTGATGAGATGAAAAACTGAAAAATGCTATTTAGTGTACATAAAAGTCCATTTTTTGTGGATGCATAATTTTTTTTTTTTTCGAAAATTTTAGAAGGATACCTTTTTTATTATTATTTTCAGACAAGCGTACTACATCCGTGAGATTGACGCGTTGTTCGTAGCGGGTCAGGAGTGTCCCTTGTACGAAGTTCCTGGACCAAATTCAAAGAGAGCTAATAACTTCGTTCGTGATTTTCTACAGGTAAAGTAATACTTCTTTGTAAGAACATAAAAAGTTTAAAAAACCCTTATCTAAAACTATAAATTATATGTGTTACAAAAACAGCCAGTTATTTTGTGAAAACTTTACAGGTTTACATATATAGATTGTTCTGGAAATCTCGAGATAATCCGCGTAGAATAAAGATGGATGATATAAAACGTGCCTTCCCTTCGCATTCAGAAAGTTCTATAAGGAAACGTCTTAAGTTGTGTGCAGACTTTAAGAGAACAGGATTGGATTCCAATTGGTATGTATATGACCCAAAATAAGTAAAATAAAAATTAACTTACTGTGTTTTTTCATCACAAAGTTTGGATGGATGGATGTATGTTAATTTGTAGCCTAAAGTGATGAATGGATCTCGATAGTTGGCAAAGATGTAGAGGATATTCTGGAAGAACACATACTATTGTTATTTTAATTCCACGCGGACGGAATCGCAGGCGAAAGCTATTGATGCTATTAATAAAAAAAATATCTGATAGGCCTAGAATATTTGTTGCAAATGTTTCGTATATTTCTATATTACTTTTAAATTGTTTTTTTCCATCAGGTGGGTCATAAAACCAGATTTCCGTCTACCCTCCGAAGAGGAGATCCGTGCGATGGTATCCCCGGAGCAATGCTGTGCGTACTTCAGCATGGCCGCTGCTGAACAGAGGCTGAAGGATGCAGGGTATGGAGAGAAGTTCATCTTCACGCCTATGGAGGATGATGACGAGGAGATGCAGTTGAAGATGGATGACGAGGTATTTGTTGAATCCATACAAAAAAGGACATGTTTGTTAAACTGAGGTAGAGAAAGAGAGAGAGAGTGTTTTTCGGTGGGCCGATCAATCGGTAATGAGGTTTGTTTTCTATTGGGCCGTTTGAATTTATTTAAATCCAATCGGCGGTAAAATTCAAAATTATTGATCAGCCGATAATTTCCCATTCGGCCGATCGACCGGTCTGATGAGAAACTCATGCTGGCCGAATGCCTTCACATTAATGACAAGAGTGAAGTGGAAGTAATATTTCTTATAAATGTATTTCTGAGGTCAAATTCTAGTCGGTGTGTAAGAATAGCTTATTTTAAGAATGTGTAGTATAATTTACTTGTAAATGTACATTTTCCAGGTGAAAGTAGCACCGTGGAACACGACCCGTGCGTACATCCAGGCGATGCGAGGCAAGTGTCTACTCCAGTTGACTGGTCCTGCCGACCCCACTGGTTGTGGCGAGGGTTTCTCCTACGTGCGGATGCCCAACAAGCCCACGCAACAGCCCAATGATGAACAGCAGCCGAAGAGAACTGTGACTGGAACTGATGCTGATCTGAGGAGACTTAGTCTTAACAATGCTAAAGCGCTGTTGAGGAAGTTTGGTGTACCAGAGGAAGAAGTATGTTTATATTCATGATGATGATAATGACGGCATTTAAAGACCGATTTATGTTTCAGTTTGTAATGTTTTTTTGGTAATCATTTGTAGGTAACAATAATCTATACATCTTTATCTATACTAATATTATAAAGAGGAAACATTTTTTTATGTTGATGGAATAACTCAAAAACTACTTGATCGATTTAAAAAAAAAATCCTTCACCGTTAAAAGCAACATTATCCCGGAGTAATACATTTTTATGACTTTTTAATTTGCGGACAAAGTCGCAAGCAACAGGTAGTTATTAATAATCATGTTTTGTCAAAATAGTCCATTTTTCTTATTGTATTTTTAGATCAAAAAATTATCGAGATGGGAAGTAATTGATGTCGTTAGAACATTATCGACGGAAAAGGCGAAAGCCGGCGAGGAAGGGATGACCAAATTCTCAAGAGGAAATCGATTTTCAATCGCGGAACATCAAGAAAGGTAATTTATCTAAATAAACATTTTATGAAATCTGTAATAACTATGTAATTATATCTATACTAATATTATAAAGATTTGGATAATTCAATTTTTGTATATATTGTAATAACTCAAAAACTTGTTAGGTCTCTATAGGCTCGGTCTGAAACATATAGTCGTCTCTTTCATTCTCTACTTAAATAATAGAGACAACAATACATTTCCATAGATACAAAGAGGAATGTCAGCGTATATTCGAGCTGCAGAACCGCGTGCTGACGAGCACGGAGGTGCTGAGTACGGACGAGGCGGAGAGCTCCGTCAGCGAGGAGTCAGATCTAGAGGAGATGGGAAAGAACTTAGAGAATATGCTGGCCAACAAGAAGACTACTGAACAGGTTATATTTTGTTCAACAAATAATTAAAAATAGAGAACTTATCAAAATTTTCAAAACCTTAATACATGAAAAAAAAATTTAAATGTATTGTACTCTAGCGGCTGAATATTAAAACGAATTTTTGAACACAGCATTGTCAGTTTCGCTTATAATCTAACTAATAAAAATGTCGAGTTGAAGCCTCGCTTTAATATTTTAGATGCTGTTATTAAAATATTGTTTTAATTTTCGACCGTTAGTTGCTTACTTACACTGTTTTACAAAAGAAAAATATTTGTAGTATAATTAAACGTGAAAATGTAAATTATATTACAGCTATCACTGGAAAGGGAAGAAGCTGAAAGAGCGGAATTAAGGAAAATGATTCTAGGACAATCTGAAAAGAAACCACAGATTAATCAAAATGATCAACAGCAGAGTTCAAATCAGGGTATGTAGTGCCTATTTTAAATAAATAAAAAAATAGATATACTTAGTTTTAGACCGAAAAAAGATTTATACCGACTGTTGTATTAAAAACATGCATTTATAACAGCGCCCTCTATTGTTCTTTAAATACAATATCGTCCCTTTCATTTTCCAAATAAGAACACATTGTAGTATATTTTATTATAGCAAGGGTTTTTATAACTATTTTTTCCATATCTGGCTATAATTTTATGTGTATTTCCAGGTCGTGTATTAAGAATAGTACGTACTTTCCGCAACCCTTCGGGTCAGAGATACACTCGTGTGGAACTAGTTCGTAAGGCCGCAGTCATAGAAGCCTACACTAAGATAAGGTCCACCAAAGACGAAGCCTTCATACGACAGTTCGCGACAATGGATGAAACGCAAAAGGAAGAAATGAAGCGAGAAAAACGAAGGATTCAGGTGCTTTATTTCTAAATACTCTCAAAAGTCTTATTTTTTGACTAGCTGTCGCCCGCAACTCTGTCCCCTTGGAATTTAAAGAAACTTAAGTAGCCTATGTTCTACCAGACTTTTTATATTCGTGACAAAGTTCATCAAGATCTGTTAGACGGTTTAGGAGATATTAGGAACGTCCATCCATCCATCCATTTTTACCTATGGATTTAGAGTAAATCTGTTTTTTTTTATGTTATGTGTTTTAAATGAATTATTTCTTTTCTAGGAACAATTGAGGCGTATCAAAAGGAATCAAGAAAGGGAAAGGTTGGCTGGTAATGTTACAGTGCCCGCTCCATTTCCTAGCAGTTTTGACAGTAAGTATATAACTATATACATATAACTAATAAAGATTATTGAGTATTTGTCCTTTTAGTTAGATTAGTTTTTGGCTCCTAAATATACTGACGCCTTATTTTTAGCTTTAAAAACTTTTAGTTAGTAAGTAGCTTATGTGTACTACCAGATTGTGTTATATGTCTGTGCCAAATTTCATTCAGATCCGTTTAGCAGTCGACTTAAAATTTCACGTTTATAATATGAAAGTATGATTTTCATTGCATGTCACTGCAATTCGAATAGAATGTACCGTGTTTTACTATTATTATAGTATTATAAGGTGGCAAAGGAGCGAGCCGCCACCTGAATTCGCCGGGAAAGCGAAGCAATCGCTGCTCATATATCCGCAATTTCAGAGGATATTTCACCTTCCTTTCCTAACCTTCCCTTATAAGAAAACGGTGGGACAGAAAAGAAACAGAAATTCGGCCTGGGGACTAAATATGAAAGTGTGTATTCTTCATTAGTATTCCCAGAAGTATAGTTAGTTTTTTTAATAACGTTTTGTTTTGTTTTACCAGATACTAAGATGACATCCTCGTCCTCGATGGACGTGAGCTCGCCATCCCCCGGGCTGACGCTGCTGGGACAGATCAAGCAAGAGGCGGACCTGCAGACCCCCTCCCGGCACCGGCGAGCTAAACTTAAACCGGACTTGAAACTTAAGGTGCGTTTAATAAAAAAAAGATATGTGTGATCGGGATTGAAATAGCTGAACTGATTACGATTAAATTTCTGATGTTTTCAAGTTTTAAGTCATAATTGAACTTTGAAAAAATGATTAATGTTAGTTAGTTAGTGCAACAATTGGCGAATTGAGTTAGCTTTTATCTGTGTGACTAACGGCTGAACGGAGATAATCATTAATTACCACTTTCTTGTTTCAAGAATAATAAAAATGAATCGATTGTTGACTTTTAATAACTCTAAGAACTAATGAGATACTTTGTTGTTTGTTACATCGAGGTGACATCTGAGCGAATGTGATGAATGAAATAAATTAAATTTTGACGATTGACGTCACGTGTCTCAAGCCAATTCCGGTCCCGTTTTAGTCGCACGAAAATGATCATAGTTTTTTTACATTTTTTTTTAGCTCAATGGTTGAATATTTATAAATCAATGTTTTTTTCTGGTTATCTTATAACAAGTAGTAACGTTTCAAAAAAAGAAAAAAAATACATGTATATTCCCTATTTAATCCAAAGTTCGTCCAAAGCAACATTATCAACAACGCCAATGTCAGTACAGTTATTGAGTGTTACTGTCCAACTGTACTGGCCAAGTGTGGGGCATCAAAAGTTTCTTAATCGAGGAGTAATTAATAATGCTGTGTGCAGTGCGGCGCGTGCGGGCAGGTGGGGCACATGCGCACTAACAAGGCGTGTCCGCTGTACTCGGGCTCGCTGAGCGCGCCGCTCTCCCCCGAGCACGAGGACGCGCCGCCAGACCCCGAAGACGACCTCGGCTACGTCGACGGCACCAAGCTGACCTTGCCCTCCAAACTTATTAAGGTATCAATTTTCATCATTAGATCACTATACTTCCCCACCCAAGTGTTTGGAGCCCATTACAAACTAGCTATTCCCTTACGGCTTCATCCGCATAAATCATAAAAACTATTTTATTGTTTACATTTGTAAAATTTTCAATTGCAAATGTCAATATTACCGATACCATAATAACCTTGCTTCTTTAATGTTGGCAGCTCGTATCGTGTGGTCTCTTTACCACATTAGGGATTTAATCCATAATATTTACCCCTAAGTTTAATGGCGTGAAAATACATAGCCTAAAGCATGACGTAAGTGTCAGGCTTTTTATTAATAAAAGAATTATTCAAAAATATGCTGTAATTGCTGACATCTTAGGCAACAAAAAAGTGTTTGTTTACACTTTATTATAATAGTATACATGGACAATAGTACTTACGGACTTCATTCTTATTATTTTGTCATTATGACTGTTTGACGGATAGATGTTTTTTTTACCATCTAACTCCAAAATATCTAAAAAGAAATAGATACAAATAAAGTATACTGTATGGGAAAACACATAGGTTACTTAACAATTTATTTAACTCGTGTAAAAAATTGCGGGCAAAGTCAAAATTAATTGACTTTTCTTACCCATAGTAAAAGTGATAGAAAGATACTTGGTTCCGGTTAGGACAATAAAATTTTTGTTTCGGTGGTTTGAGGTCAACGCCATCTATACCAAAAATATACTATTTAATGTACTTTTATTTTTTAATCTTGTTTTTTTTAGCAATCAGCGGAAGATCTCAAACGTCGTGGTATGAGTCGCAGCGAGATCCGCGCTGGCGGTAGGAACAAGAGGAGAGGGACCATTACGGAGTCCTGCGACTACCTCGTGCGGCGGCCCGCGGAGAGACGCCGCACTGACCCGCTGGTCACCCTCTCCTCACTCCTGGAAGCTGTCCTCAATCACATGCGGCATCTCCCTGATGTACAACCTTTCCTCTTCCCTGTCAACCCTAAGGTGAGTTTCACTGATTTCAATCTATCTTAGTTATATTGTAAATGTAAAAGTTTAGATGGATGGATGTTTGTTAGTTTGTACCCTAAGCAGCTGAGAAAGCTAGTAGTATTATAAATGCCAAAGTTTACATGGTTTGCTGAACGAATCTCGATAAAATTTGGCATGCATGTGGCTACTGACATTTGTTTTTTTTTATTCAACGCAGACGGAGTCGAGGGATTAATCTAGTATTTAGATATTTCTACTAGTGACCGACTGAAATTTCGCTCTCAGACAAAAAATCTTGTTTTGGTTCGGCCAAAATACTACTGAAACTCGAGTGTTCAACAATTTGCTCTTGCTTGAATCAAACGATACAATATTGAAATGTTCAAACGAGAGCTTATATTTTGTTATCTAGAATATATAATATGTTTTTAAAATAATAAAAACCTTTGTATTATTGTATTTCCAGTTGGTTGCGGATTACTACCGCATTGTATCGCGGCCGATGGACTTGCAGACTATCAGGGACAACCTGCGACAGAAACACTATCAGAGCAGAGAGGAATTTTTGGCTGATGTCAACCAGATTGTTGAAAACTCCACACTTTATAATGGTACAAGCTGTTCCTATGCGATTTCATCCACATAAAATTATAAAAATATTACTATATTGTTTACATTTGTCAAATTATTAATTGCATATGTCAAAATGACTTGACATGACAAACCTTGGCAATCTTTCTTTCTTGATGTTGGCAGCAACTTATGGTTTCTTTCCCACATTATGGTTTTTACTCAAAATATTTACCCCTAAGTTTAATGACGTCAAAATATGTAGCCTAAAGCATGACGCAAGTGAAGGGCTTTTTATTAAAAAGAGAATTATTCAAAAATATGCTGTATTGCTGACATCTTAGGCAACAAAGAAGTGTGTTTACGCTTTATTATAATAGTATAGATTAACATATACATAATACAATCTCAATAATTTAACTTTATGTTTGTCAGTAAATAATTGAATGAATACCCGATGCAAAAGCTTTGTCTTTTATGAAAATTGTGTAACATGTTTAGATTTATGGCGCGGAAGTTGATATATTCATGAAGGGTACTCAACAGCAATTAAATTCGAAAAACTTGTATAAGTAGATATAAGTATGAGAGTGAGACAGAGAGAGTGGGAGAGAGAGAGGCAAGATAGTATATTAAGTATTAAACCACCAGCAAATGAGACATCCAAAAATGTCTACCCACTGTGTTACTGGCACGAATTATATCGTTTTGTGTGAAAATGAAACAAAAATTGACATAATTGAAGTTAGTTATGATCAGATTTAATGCAAGTCCACTAGTCATAGTGTTTTTATCATTGTCTTTTTTTATCTTTTTTTCGTAAGGTCCTACAAGCAGTCTGACGGTGGCCGCTCAGCGCATGTTGCAGCGCTGCGTAGAGAAGTTAGCGGAGAAAGAGGAACAGCTCATGAAGTTAGAAAAACAAATCAATCCCTTGCTAGATGATAACGATCAGGTACGATATTACTTATATTATGTTGTTTGTATAAGCTCCTTATATTCTTAATAATAGCCATATAATGGACAAACTTATAGTCATTATATTATCTCTCTCAGGGCCTGTCCCACCACTGACTACTGGTACTCCTCAATAGATAATGTCGCAACAATATTAAATTTTTTTTCAATACTAAGGGCCTGTCCCACCACTGGCTGATAGAAGCTCAGATAGATTACAAATGACGTCATTGTCAGAAGGCAACAAATTCCGATATATCAGACAATTCACAATTTGGTGGGACAGGTCCTTAGTAAACACTTATTGCCGCGGCAAGCAGTTATTTTTTAGTTACGTAAGATTTAACCGTTGTAGACAAAAAAGATTTCTGCATGTAATATTGGAATAATGGTTTTAAAGAATTAACTTAAATAAGTTTTTTTTTTTATTTGTTATAGGTGGCGCTGTCGTTCATATTAGAGAATCTGCTGACGACGAAGCTGAAGGTGATGCCGGAGGCGTGGCCGTTCGTGAAGCCGGTGAACAAGAAGCAGGTGAAGGACTACTACAACGTCATCAAGCGCCCCATCGACATGGAGACCATGGGCAAGAAGATACAAGGTGATCAACACTTTACCAATAACGTAATACTAGTATTATAAATGCGAAAGTTTAGATGGATGGATGGGTGTTTGTTAGAGTTTGTAGCCTAAACGGCTGAACGGATTTCGATGAAATTTCGTATAGATGTGGAGGATAGTATGGAAGAACACATAGGCGATTTACTTTTGTTGTTTTTTTGATTCCACGCGAACGGAATTGCGGGCGAAAGCTAGTTTACAACTTTAGTAAAATTTACACCTCATTGTCCACAACTCCCATAGAAATGGCAATAGGAACTTTCGCATGTATAAAATTAGTAAGATGTAAAAGTTTGGATGGATGTGTGTTTCTTCGTATTGGCTATGGCTTAACGGATCTCGATTAAATTTGCCATAGATGTAGAACGTAGAACTAGTAAAACACTTAGGTTACTGCTTCAGTTTTTTTTTATATTCCCGACCCGATGAAGTCGGGGACAAAAGCTTTTATACAAAAATTGTTCATGACTTGTCGCAGTTAGAAAATAAAATTTTCCATTTTATACTGCTTCACCTTTCAGTAAA